ATTTATTTATGATTTAATTAATTAACTATATATTTAATTAATTAAATATATTAAGGTTACAAATCTATGAAATTTGGTCACGATCCAAAAATTTTAAGGTCACAATTCAAAACTTTTATAAATCACAGTTTCTTCATCGGTCACAAATTAAAAATTTAAAAGTCACAATTTATTCATCGATCACAAATCATAAAATTTATAAATCACACAACTTATTTTATGGTCACAAAATATCAAATTAATTGATCACAAATTATATTTAGGTCACAGTTTATCAAATTATTGGTCACAAATTAATAATTTTTAGGTCATATATTGTTTATTGGTCACAAATTAACCAATTTAATGGTCACCACCAACCATCAACTTGTGACCACCACCTCATCATTCCCTCCAGAAACACCACTGCCACTTCGTCGTTAGAACCACCACCTCCCGACAGCAACACCACCTCAAACAAATCAACACATCGCAAAAAAAAATCATCGCATCTTTACACCGATCCACCACCACCGTGACATGCCCATTGCCACAAACAAAACCACTGCACACAACCACAGAACAACACTGTCTCCTATCACAGATCTACTTCGCTTCTCGCAAATCTCACAGACCACCACGCCCACCACAGATCTACCACCACGCTGGCGCAATTAGAGTCACCACCACCACCTTGCACCCCAACACAGCACACACCACCATCAACGCAACCCGCTATCAATGCACACCACCACCTCGCAACAGATCCAACCACAACCACACACATCACCAAAACCGTCGCTGCTAGAACAACCACCACAACCACACATCACCAACACCTCTCCCGATCTAATCAACGGAGAGCACTGCGGCACTATCAACAAACCATTAATAAAAAAAAAAAAATTGATGTTTGTTTGGGATCACCGCCATGGTCAGCCGATGTTACAAAATCTGATATCCATTAACATGAACAAGACCTCCAACACCATCAGCACCGATTTCGTCCAACTCAGCGGTGGCTTCGTGACAAAGAGATGGTAAGAGGAGAGGTTTCGCGACGAAGAGAGGGTGAGATGTGATAATAGATAGAGGCGGTGGTGGTACTAGAACGGTGGTGCCAATGGTGGTGCCGTCGAGGTGGTAGCGACGAGGATAGAATGAGAGGGGAGAGAAAATAAAATAATTAGGGTTTGAAATTGTGTAGGCTTGATTTAAATAAAAATTAATTTAAAAACCATTAATCAAAACCTGATTTATGTATTATTAAAGTTGATTCTAGATTTATGAAAATTGTATCTTAAAAACCTGTGAGGCTCTAATT